CACCATCTTGCATAAACACAGATACTGTAACCGATGCTAGCTTCAACACCAGAGAACTCCTCACCGCTTTCTTTTGCCAAGTAGTGAGAAATCTCTCAAATTCTCTACTCAGGAATCACTTCAGTCAGAGTGGATTACCAAAGCAATTCTCTTAATCAGCAAGTCTAGTGCAGAGTGGAGTCTTACAGAAAACGGCTTACGCAACTGTAAACAAGAGTTTCTTTTCAATTATGCACAGACCCCCGCCTTGCTTCCAGGTGATAAACAGTGGATGCACAATATTCTTGCCTTGCAAATAACACATCCATTTCTATTCAGGAATCAGTTCCCTGCACTGAAACAGTGTCACTAATAAAACACACTGCTTGTAGAGCTAGAGCTGATAGCCCCTTTTACTTAGCACATACTTTTGTTGCTGTATACATATCTTTGTGTAAGACGAAATGTTCTCTGGGTATTTTTTAAAGCTGAAGCCACAGCAGTTTAAGAAACAAGAGTAATATTACCAAATATTTTTTCCCTTAAGTGGAGGAAAACAAACAAACCAACCACAAAACAAAACAAACAAAAAACCCCAAACAACCAAAACTAGCAAAGACTGTCTTCCAACTCAGCTACCTCCACAAATCCTTATTTCTCCCTCTGTTTTCACCCAGTATCAAGTATTGCTGCTTGTTCACAACACTGGGAATATAATCAGGTCAATTAGGTGACGGTTATGAAAAAGAACTTCCTTGTATTTAGCAAACTCCACCAAAGATTAATTATTACTGATACCAATTAAAAAAAAAAAAATCCTAGGCATTTCTCTGCACAAAGCCTTTTTAAATTGAGAACTAAAAATAGACAGACAGACAACAAGCAGACTTAAACAATTTTATCAGTGGGTGATTTATTTCGGCTTTCTGCTCTCCCTGGTCGCAGTTCAGTGCAACTCATAAATAAGTTAGGCTGGCGAAGGAGATTGAATTTTTGAGGCCAGAACAGTAATTGAGGAATTGAACAGCCTGGAGTTTGAAATATCATCTCCTGGGACATAAAAGCCTTTGGTCCTATTAGCAACTGTCTATATTGCTTCTCCAGACATTGACACATACGACCATGTCAACATATTGAACTGATTTATGTTTCTTTGTCTCACAAAAAGACAGATCTCGTACGTGTTCTGGGCTCCGTCATGCTGTTACTCCAAGAGTAAGAACATCTCGAGTCAGCTAGCTACATAAATTACAACACATGCCGACATTTTCCTGCAAACTAAAGGTTTCCAGTCACCATCAAGTTTCTCTCAGGAACTATTTTTCAATATTTAAAAGGCATCCAAACAAATCTAATATTTAGAAGGTTAGGAAGAAAGGTTGAACAAAGCTTTTTAGCTGTAAGCTTTTACAGTAAAAAAAATAAATTAAAAAACATGTTATTTCCAAGATGCGTTTACTGTATTTAAAACCTTTTTTTTTCCTCAGCTAGTTTGCAAAATTACATTATTCACAGAACCTCAAAGATTTTTCCTTTGCCAAGTACTAAAAAGTCAGATCTTTCAAAAATATGGCAAGGCCCAATTTCCTGTGAAGACAATCTGCACCAGTTCAGGACAGTTCGATTATACAGAAAGCAGTAATCTTCACTTTTTCCACACTGTATATGTCAGCACTTGCAAAGGAAAGACTGAAAAGTTTGCCTGAGAAAGTTTTTGGATTTTGTTCAAAACAAAACAAGCAAATCAAAAAATCCCACCATCACTGACCACTTTTTCAGTCATTCTCTCAGGATCAAAATTTCAAAGGAAAACAAGAGACTCCACAGACAACCGAAACAACAAGCGATAGACTGCAAAACCAACCCATGACCAAAGGCAAAAAGTATCACCTCCAGGTCTTAGTTGGTATGAAAACATGGTAATGATCTCAGCGAAAGCACAGGCCTGCACAGGACACCCGCACTCTCTGTGAGGCGCTGCGGCCATTTCATGGCGCCCTCAGGGGCCTTTGTACCTCAGGAGCCTGCCTCATCCCACCTGGCAGCTCGGGGCCACCACCGCATGCCTGTTCCTCCACACCTGGCCATACACACACGTTTGATTCACTGATCAAAACATGAAAATAATAACTTTCCCTCCCTAACTTATCATCCCACAAAACCTAAAGCAAACATTATTTCTAAGATGGCGCCACTTGGTGTGGGCCTCCCAGGTGTGACAGAAATGGTTCCCCACACAGCACCCCTGAGCAGTTGAGTTTTGGATAGCTATGATGTCAATCACATAATTAAAAAGGCTCAAACTTTTATAAAAGATCTGAAAGGTGCCTCTGGGGTCTCAGGGCAGGGACGTAAACCTCACAGGGGGCACAGGCCTGCCCAGAGCTCTGCAGCGTGAGGAGGGGAGGCAGCAGCAAAAACACATGAGCACAAGGTTAACCTTCTCTGGAAAAGAAAGACAGTGTTTAAGTTTAAATCATTAAAGTGATGGATTAAAAAGGAAAAAGGGAAATATGAGAAAAAGTTGCCTCACGTATCACTACTAAAATCCACATTCGCACCTTCTCCAGTCTGTGAGAAAGAAAAAACATACATCTAGTTTTGTTTTGTTTTGTAAGAAAAGATGGCAACTAAAACTAAAAGGTATTTCTTAAAAATAGAGTATCACATCTGTTCTGATCAAGCCCATCATACTTTGTTTAGAAGAAAGGCTCCCAATGGCATCATATACAAACACAAAACAGCAAGAGTTTGTCGGATCTAGTAAACACCAGGCAAGATGGACTGTATACTGGAATTAAGCACTACCAGTTATTAATAAATAAATAAGTTTTCAGATTAAATATTGAATCACATGGACACACCATCATCTGCCATGTAACAGACTGTACTGACAGCACCTCATGCTCCGCTCCTACTAGATCTCAGCACAGACAGGATGAGTGATTTGGGTGTATGACACTAGAACAGAGATCTCTAATGAATAAAAATGTGCTACTCATTAAATACCATCTCTCCAACTTGCTATTGAAGGGGTAGCTGATGGCAGGGCCTGCCTCTCCAAGGGACTGGGCACTGCTCAGCCCCACAGGCAGGACATGGATGAGGGCTCCCTCCATTTGCACATCACTGCACTCCTTCCCAAGCCAGCACCTGAGCTAGAGCTGTTCAAGTGGAAAGAGTAGTGTTTTCACTTCCTAATACTCAGCAGTATTTCTCCATGACCACCAGAATACTGCTCAGTTGGACATTTTCTGTCTAAGTCTTGTTAAAAAAAAAAACCAAAATCTAAAGGAAGTGCTTCAAGTCAGCATTGTCTTAGGTGAAAATTTTTATCCTGAGCAAGTAAAGAAAATAACAGCTCTTCACCAAAACGTATTTGCATAAGAACAATTCCTATCAGAAATGTTGTTTTGACAGCCATCCCTCCAAAAGAAAGAAAAACCACCACTCCTCTGCAGCTCAGCAGCTCCTTGGAAATGTCTCCGCATGCAGTGGGTTATCACAGAGACGGGCAGGATGGAAGATCACCAGCTCCATGTTGTTCTTCAGCTGCAGCTGTTCCCACTGACAGACAAGCGAACAGGACACCACAGCAATTAAATTAAAAAACAAACAAACAAAAATCGCAAGGGCACCTTCAGAAAAGCTGCTGTAAGCACGTTACTCATGATAAATTTTTAAACTCAACTACCTCCCCCATACTCACAAGGTACACACAGCAGGCTATGAGTCTGCTTCTCAGGGAAACAGCATGCCTGCACAACGATGGACAACTTCAGAACTTCAGCATTAACTTTCAAATGGCCCTTGCTTGCCGTTATACTATTACACAGTCTGTAACGAGGTACACAAGTTAAGCAACTCCTACAACTGGCAGGATGTTTAGGATTTATGGTTGTAGCGTGCTTCCCCAATGGCTCTTCTCAGCTGCTGCAAAATGGCTGCTTCACTCACAGACCTTCCTAGGAAAGGGTTAACAATCCCATAGAGAGACTTTTAACAAGTACTGAAGTTCATTTAAAGACATTTGGACAGAAAAACTGAATTATTTAATGGTAAAAAGTCTCATATGAAGTAAAAGATTGTATATAAATACTGCGTAACATCCAGTGGAATTCATCACTTTGCTTTGCACGGATTTACTTTATTTTTGGAGAAAATTAAACCCTGACACTTACTGAACACTGTAACTTTAAAACTCAGTTAAAAAAATGTTTAAATACAATTCTTTTCTGAACTACACAATACACACGTAGGTGGTAAGTATGATGAAGCCTTCCAGTGCTAGATATAGCACACATTCAAGTTTGGAACAGAACTACAAATTACTGTTCTTCAGGATAATTAGCACTAACAAGAAAGCAAATACTAATTTAAATTCCTTCGAAAGGTTTCTCTGATCACATTGTTGTCGACAAAACTGCTGACAGTTTAAAAAAGCAGAGTATTTATCTCAGTACTGATGATACACCGAATAAAAATAAATCCCACCACAACATGCAAAATGCTCTAACATGATGTAGTTTTCTGTCAAAATAATCCTGATTTTTAGGTGAGAACAGTGAAAACCGTGATTTATTGAGCATCTCAATCAGCCTGATTACATGTCAGGTTTGAATTTCGGTAGATCAGGCGGATGGCAGGTCCAACTTCAGACTGGATGCTACCACCAACCACTATGGTTCTCCAAACAGCTAAGTCCTACATCAACGTTAGCTCTGCCAAGCTTACGTGTCGATTGTAATCCTGAGGAAGCCGACTGAAAAAGGAGACAAAACAAACACTATATGCATTCATAACAAGCTTTTCCCAATGATAAGAGTGAAAATAAGTCTGGACTGCACTGGACTGACGTAAAATATTACATCCTGCCCCACCTTGTAACCAGTAACAGATTTTTATCTGCTTTGACCGCTACAAAAGAACAGGCAAAATAAGAAAAGTTCAGGGCCAACATCTTTTATTTCTTGAAATATGAGGGAAAAGTTACCCAGAAAGAAAATGTAACTTTCAAGGAACACAAACAATACGCCTTATTCTCCATCCTGCTGACAAGGTTTTCTCAAATTGCATAATTTTAAGTTCTACCCAAACCTGTAACCATCTTATTTTTTATAAAACCAAAAATAATTCAAACTGTACATGACCATTATACATTAAAACCTCTTTTTTTTTTTTTCAACCGTAAGCACAGTTCTGAACGATGTCGGGTGAGGCACTAAGGAGCTGTCAACTGTTTAAGAGATATAAATAGAAAATGAAAGCATTTTAGGAGTCTTCTTCCATAGTCACATCCTCTTGGAGCTTCTGCACCATTTTGTCCTCCAGCTGCTTTGGCGTGCCTTCAAAGCAAAGACAAAGTTCAATTCAAGATGGTTCTCTAAACCCAAATAGCTGTTATTCTTTGAACACTATGTCTGTTCTAGGTGAAACAGCCTAAATACATGGCTTATAGAGTCTGTGTAGAGTAAACCCATCAAGCTTTCAAGTATGTATTGCTAACCTCCCTCACTGCCTAAAACTACTTCCGAATTCTTTTAACAGAAAAGCTTATGTCTTTTTTATGCAAAATCTAATAAGCAGTCAACACGTGTTTTCTTCTAGAATGATCAACTCTGATACAGCCAGCAAAGCCTTCTAAAGGACTATAAAAACACATTACTTCTAACAGATCAACGGCCTTCACACATTAGTTTATATAAAGCTTCAAGGCCTCCTGAATGCTGCGTTGGATGGCAATGCTGTTAACTCTCAATACTACTACCAAAACCAAATACGCTATAAAATTCAGACTGACATGTGATTCTGCTCTCTTTAAGGCCCAGCAGAAATGCTGAGAAGGCAGCTGCTGTCTGACACACAGACGTACCACGGGCTGTTGGGCCTCATTCATTTTGCGTAAGCAAAGCCAGACAAAAGACATAAACAAACACTCAGGTTTATTCTTTTGACTTCAGCTCTTTGTTCTTTTTCTTCCCTCAAAAATCAAGGGACAGAGCAAAGCAAAGTTTAAATGTATCCTGACAAAACGTGGTTTCACGTATATACAATTTTAGACTACAGTTAACGCAAACTGGAAGAAAAATATAGAAGAGAATTCTAGTTAAAGTCTAATAATATATCACACCTACATCCACAGATACAGAATCACTGGTGGTTTTTATAAACTAATACCTAGTGGAAACGTTTCTAACATCTCCCCATGACTCTACTCCATTAACTGTATTTTTAAAAAGAAATCATCTTCACAATCCATTTTTATCAACGCCATCTAACACAAGCTAGTACTTCTAATAAAGAGTTCAGAAACCAGAAAATTATTTAGGAGAAACAGGTTTCTCCAACTGAAAAAACCCCTTGGTTCACTAAAAAAGAATACACATTATTATATCTGTTTTAGGGAATCTTTTTTAAATTACCATGATATTAAAAAAAGCTTAGGCTTACACGGAATAAATATTTCCGTGTAAGTCTTATTATACAAAGTGCACTACAAAAAAACCTGCTCTCACAATTAGCTAACGAATTCATAAAAGCAGAGTTTGACTACTGTGTTTTATATCAATCAGTGGCACAGTCTGCCGAGTTCAATAATCTATTCAAAAAGAAGACTTGGATTGGTTAACAAACACGCAGTTCAGAGAGCACCAGGTATTGAGTGCAGTTTAAAATACTCAAATAAGGAATGGAAAGGGTAAATGCAGGACTAGATAAACAAAAATATATTTGATTCAGAACAAGGACATTGCTTACATTGACTGGCAGGAGCTACTCTCCATATTCAATCCACAAATTAATTGCAAGAAAAATGTACAGCATTATTGAGCTGTAGAATGAGTCTCACACACACAAAATCAATATTCAAATACAATAAAACTGTATACACAACCTAAGTAAACCAGGGAAAGCAAGTTCTTACCTGCATGTGGAGCACGAAGAAGGTGGATATTCTGTTTGACTTCTTTGATGTCTTCTGCCTTCTGCAACTCTTTGCTCTTCTTTAATCTGGGGAAGGAGAAAATTGAGTTGAGTTACCTTCAAAGAACAGCTGTAAGTTTGCGTTTTAATGCATGACACACGTCTTTAAAGGCATGTAAACTGCCAATTACTACAATTATAGGGAAATAAAGGTAACAAGTATTTGAAAACCAATTCAAGCATACACTGGATACAAAACCAGGGAAAAAAAGGCAGCACTGTATCAACTCTTACCAGAAATTTGTTTAAATCTAAGACTCAATATTACAAACAAGTTCAGTTCTGGGCCCCTCACTACAAGAAGGATGTTGAGATTCTGGAGCGTGTTCAGAGAAGAGCCACAAGGATGGGGAGGGCTCTGGAGAACAAGCCTGATGAGGAGCGGCTGAGGGAACTGGGCTTGTTTAGCCTGGAGAAGAGAAGGCTGAGGGGAGACCTCATCACCACCTCCAACTGCCTCAAGGGAGGTTGTAGAGAGGTGGGTGCTGGGCTCTTCTCCCAGGTGATGGGGGATAGAACAAGGGGAAACGGCACCAAGCTGTGCCAAGGGAGGTTCAGGTTAGAGCTAAGGAGGAAGTTCTTTACTGAGAGGGTCGTCAGAAGCTGGAACAGGCTGCCCAGGGAGGTGGTGGAGTCACCATCCCTGGATGTGTTTAAAGAGCGGGTAGATGAGGTACTTAAGGATATGGTTTAGGGGGCAGACAGGAGCGGTTGGACGTGATGATCTCAGAGGGCTTTTCCAACCGAGTGATTCTGTGATTCTGTGATAACTGTTATCATGGAGTGTCCAAAAGCTGCATTTCACTGGACAGCCAATAAAGTGTCATAGTTTGGTAGCAGAGTGGAGACCACTCGAACTATTTCACCCATCACTTGTATCACTGTGTACACAAAGCACACACTTGGTACATACTTTCCATCATCATTTCTCTGGAAAGACGGACTGTCTAATACAGACTTGTGAGAGCTCCCATAATACAAATATTTCTCCTCACCTGTTCATAATAAATCTCGCTTGGCGTTTTTGCTTTATTTCCTCCACTCTCTTCATTGCATCAACTGAAACAAAGCAGAAGTTGTTTTAAATGGGTTTACACACCTACAATTTGAAATACATTGTATTTTCCAAAGCAACATTACCAATATTCCAGAGTACCTCTATGTCAGAGGCAACTCTTATACTACATAGAGGAAGTTATTCCTTCCTTGGAGAGCAGAGTAGAGAAATATTCTGTGTACCAACTAGGACAAACTGTATTTTAAAACTTGTTTATGCTTCCACTTTCATGCCTACACGTATTTTCCACAATTAAGCACCACAACAAAAGCCTGACTTTACTTGAAATCAGACAAAAGTTACCACCTTTGAGGCATTCATTCATCATGTAAGTAACTCTACCATCTCACAGCAACTGATTTATTAAATGGAACAAAGAAACAACTGCATCAGTACAAAAGGCTTACACTGGGAGCCTCTTAAAAAGCTTGGTAACCACTAAGGTTTTTTGAAGAGAGTAATTCAAAATACAGGACTGCTCCAGCTCTAACCAGTTGCTGAAAAAAAACGCAATCACGTGAAACTCCACACGTGTTCACAACTCAAACCTCCTCCACACACGAGAATTTGGTCATGATCCCAGTAATTTCAAAGACAATCACCACAAAGTGTCAATACTCTACGAAGTCTTCTGAAAACATGTTTGTAAAATTCACTCCCCGTAGTTCACCTTTTGTTTTCTCTAACATCACTCACCGGTCTGGTTCCACAACTCTCTCTGGTATTTCACTGGTTCATTTCTACGTTTTTCGAACTCGAATGAATTATCCTACATTAAGAAAAAGTAAACATAGATTATACACAAAGCATACTGAGATCGATGCATTCTTACTGCAGCACTCGCTCATATAACTTAATATTTTACGTGATTTTTTTTTCCCTTTCAGAACCTCAGCTCCTATACTTGAACAACCTTTAGAGATTACTAAACTAAAAGGAAACAGAGTTGAGTGTTTGACCTCAAAGTGTCAGAAGCCACAGTGATTTGTCTGAAAAGAACTATTTACCAAGCCATGTCCCTCGGCTATTTTCTTTTTAGTGAGACAAAAGGAACAGAGAAGACCAATGTGGAGTCAGAAATACAGAGTGGACTAGACAGGTGGAAGGCAAAATTGAAAACATGTAGAGTCAAAAGCACTTAATGCAGGTCAAATAAGTTCTGCTCAACAACTTATAACTTTGAAAAGGTTCTAAACAGAAACACTATTTCATTTTAAGATTATTGTAACAATATCAAGTGATTTGAAACGGTGAAACATTTCAATGGATGACATACTGAGGTGTTTGAGGCAGCTGAGGGCTTTTTGTTGTGCATTTTCTGTTTGTTTTGCTGGGTTTTTTGGTTGTTTGTTTTTTTTTTTCCAAAGAGCTTAAGATAGAAAAACAGTTTTCTGATTTTTATTTTTTTTTTGCTAGGCATGCTTAGATTTACACCAACTTTATCGGACAACATTTCCCTACCCACCGGTTCTTTTTTATAATGGTAAAGCAGAATTATTAGGTAGCATCAAGCAGAACAGCCAAAATACAAGCTGTAGAGCACACTGCATGTTAACATCTAGATGCCATTCTTATTCTTAACAAAAAAAACCAAAACAATCCAAAATTCATTGTAGCCAAGCATGAGACAGCAGCACATCAACTCACTACAGTTTACCATAAACGGAGTCAGCTTTTGCCTATTTATAACCACAGAATCCCAGAATATGAGGAGTTGGAAGGGCCCTGGAAAGCTCCCCCAGTGCAACCCCTGCCAGAGCAGGATCACCAGAGCAGTCACACAGGAACACGGCCAGGGCTTTGGGTGTCTGCAGACAAGGAGACTCCACAACCTCTCTGGGCAGCCTGGGCCATGCTCCATAACCCTCACACTCACAAAGTTTGGCCTCATCTTCAGCTTGAACCTCCTGTGCTCCAGCTTGGGACCATTGCCCCTTGTCCTGGCATTGGCCATCCCAGAGCAGAGCCTGGCTCCTTCCTCCTGACACTGCCCTTTCCCAATGGATCCCCAGGAATGAGGGCACCCCTCAGTCTCCTCTGCTCCAAGCTCAAGAGCCCCAGCTCCCTCAGCCGCTCCTCAGCAGGGAGATGCTCCACTCCCTCCATCATCTCTGTGGCCCTGCTGGACTCTTTCAAGCAGTTCCCGTCCTTTGATACATGATATTGTTATGTATCATGAGAACACACCACAAACAGTGAAGAGAAGTCTCCTAAGAGTACAGCTGTTCTTCCAAACACTCACAGAGATAAACTACAGCTACCTCATGCTGGCCAATGGATCTTTTCAATTCCAAGCACGAGGCCACAGAATGACCAACTCCTCAGTCGTTCTGAGTGAGAGAACAAGCCTGTCCTCCAGAAATACCTTGTGAGCAACCACCTGGCAAGGTTATGTCCTTCTCATTGTTTTTGCTGTTTAATAAAAGAAATCTGAAACCCAGGAAAACAAGGAAATACATTTAACCTGTATCCAATGTTCCTGTTTGAAGCAGCAAGAACTGTTACCTTCTTACAAACCGCAGTATTTCCCATCATCTCGAGCCCATTTAGACACTCTTCCTGAAGCTGGCTTATGAAAGAATGGATACCAACCAAACTACAACAAAGCACCATGCCTACATATTGTTTTAATTCTTAGCATACGGAGATGTATCTCAAAACTGGGGCATACTGTCACCTATTGAGGTGTGTATAAAGGAATTTTAAGTTAAGATCTTAAGATCTGTTAACCATAGCTTCTATGAGTCACATTAAAAAGAAAATAGAAATCACATTCTTCCTCGTGGAAGATGCATAGAAGGCAGCAAATCACTGTGTCAAAGCACCAAACTGTCAGCATCCTGTTGAAAAAGAGGTAATTAAGTCACAGTAATTCCTGACTTATTTAAGGACTGCTCCACCACATACAAGTGCTTAGTTTATCACTGAAGTAACTTTGCCTTGAAACGGTTTTTAGCTATTTTAAGATCTCGTATGCTGTTTGTGAAACATTCCTATGTACACAAGGACTTTTCCTACACATTGTATGCTTTAAGACTTCAAGAGGTAAATATCTTATGTGCCTACACAGAGAGACTTCCTGGGGTACCTGGTAACCAAGATTATCTGGTTGTGCAGAAACAGAACTACCAAACGTGTATCGACAGAGTGGGAGACTTACAGATGGGAAAAGAAAGCCTTGGACTTGGGAACTGCCATGCATTACTGACATAGATACCTGACACTGAAGCACACAGTGAAGCCCAAATGTGAAGCTCCAAGTCATAGTCAAGCTAAATTAATGGCTTACTCTCAAGAAAACTCTCTCATCCTCTTCCACAATCCAGATTTTCTCCACTTACTCCATCCCTCATGCTAATCTAATTCAATGACGATGCATTAAGCTAGCTAACCTAACCTGTCTGCATCCGGAAGAAGCGAGATTTCTGACATTGTAGTGAGCTCAAGTAAAGCGTGAGCCAGTCCAACTTCTTACCACTGTCAATTCTTTGCCAGCTGCTTTCCGGAAGGCTTTGGTCCATCTCATCTTTCTGGGATTTCGCTTCTTTTTAAAGTTTCTGTGGCATTTTGATTTGCAGAATCTAAATATCTTAAAAGATGAAGAAAGAAAGAAAAAATTACAGGCAAATCATATTATTCCTGCCCCACTGCAAGCATGATATCAAACACCGAAGTTTCTCTAACTGCTTATAGAAAATGACATCCATCTTTCAAATTTCAGCATTTTTAGTTCAAATACAGCCCCTGACAAACAGAATTTCAAGCTCCATTCTTGATTTTTTTTCATTACAAAGTCATTTTCACAGCTGTCCAGGATGTGCACAAATACTTACAATTAAGCTGATTATAAATAAAACATACCAGGGTTGTCAGAATTATCATCTGCAAAAATAACTGTAAACCCAAACCTGTACTGTGAATAAACAATCTTCTATACCTGTCAGCACTTTTTAGACACAGTGCCATCCTGACAACAACAACAAATCCCCACACCTCTCACGTAACTCTTTTCAATTCAGTACACATGCGCACACAAGAAAAGTCTATCTTCTGGAATGCAGCTTGAAGCCTTAAAGATTACCCTGCAGCTGGAGTCCTAAGCACATTAGTTAAGTCCTGGACTGAATTTACTGAAAGCTGTTGAAGCATATGCCCAAACATTCCAGCTGACCTTTTTTCTTACCCCCGCCTCCACTTTCCTACAGACTCTACAGGACACTACACTCACTTTAGGCACCTGCCACTGCCGGCCATAAATTACCTCACGTTCACCCAGCTGATGTTTTCAGGCCCATTAAAGATGCATAAAAGAAACTTCATTATCCATACTTGAAATTTCACTAATAAAGTATTAAAAAGTATTGAAATGATGTAGCTAACAGCCAAGCTAAAGAACAGTGCTCCATCCCAAACTGTCCCAGATCCAACAGACATTTTCCAGTCAAAGAGAGTATGCAGCAAGATGATGGTGGAAGAGGGGGACACCATCATAACCCTGTTCACAGTTCTTAATCCTCCCTAAATTTGTGCATCGCTTTGAACTGTCCTGGGCTGTCCAGCATCCAGAGCAGAGCTGAAATTTTACTTAACAATACCGAAAATTACATTTGTTATCACTGAGTTTTTGAAAACCCTGCTTTTCTTCAACCGTGCTCTCCTTCCCATCTCACACTCACTCCTGAAGAAAACGTAACAGAAAATATGAAACCCGTAGTAAAGGTAATCACCTTCAAATGATATTTTTTTAAAAATTCAACAGCTTTTACAACTAACCTGCCGTTCTGCTACCTTTGTTTTTTTTAAACACGCACCTTGTGGCCATTTTCTACTAAAGGGAACTATGCCAATCTACATCTGCCTCTAAATTCACAGAAGCTGCGACTCGGGTGAGCCACACAGTAGTTGTTCTGACGTCCGAGCGTGGGAAGGAAGCGATTTGTGTAAGCTTCATTTCACACTGGGGCCTCCAGTGCCCTACAGGAGCTGATAAGGAGTACAGCAAAGGCTGGGAAAGTACACACAACATTTTATGTACAAACTTGTCACCATAATATAAAGCCCAAAGTGCTATGCGCATCCTGCTATGACAGCCTCAATTGGCTAAGTCACATCAGATATCTGAGCAAGTTACAACTTTTAGGAAGTACCATGAGACAGACATAAGCCATTAGCTTTAGCATACAGTGTCTGTAACCCAGATTGCTCAAAGCTTTAGAATCACTTGCTATTAATATAAACAGCCTCCACTTCTTCACAATCAGAAAATTAAAGAAGGAAGATTTCATATCGCTCTACAAACCATGTAACTTCTCGGTTTAAAAGTGAACGCGAATTTTTCGGCCCACACTCTTCCCGAGAGCCACCACAGCTGCCAAATTACAGCATCATTTCGTACAACGGCTCCCACATCGCACGGAGCCCTGCGCGCTGCTGACGCCGCCCAGCACCGCCCCGCGATCGCCC